CTCGTTGTCGGTTTCTTTTTATCGCGGATCATATGTTGCGTCGAAGTTCCGTGCCGTAGTATTATCGCGTATCGTGTCGTCTCGAGCGTCTGTAGCGTAAGATTTGCATGTCTATTCGGTCCTCTGTGTAATAGCCATTAATGACAATTTATAATAGCAATTGATAATTGTGCGTATTCTGTCGTATCGAGACTGCGTAGTATCGAGTTTGCACGTATTCGAGCCTTCTCTGCATCTCAGCTGAAGCCGATGCGAGGCCCCGCGAGCGCGCACGAGATCACGCCGTGTCCACGCTACCATCGTTGCCGAATTCCTTATTTGTAGTGTAGTATTTGCGAGGCGATGAGGTATTGTTCGCATAATTCGCGAGAGCATCTCTGTGTGGCGTGAGGTGAGAAGCTAACGAAGTTGATACTTCCAGCGTAAAGTCTCGGGGCCTGCGTGAGCCCGTTATCGTGCTCAAGTAGAACTTATCGTGTCGATTGTATCAGCGTCAGATGTAAATGCAAGTCGAAGACTTATCTAATATACTTGTTACTTTTGTTATTGTTAATTCGTGTGTACTTTATTCTCGCCCCTATTCGCTTCTCCAAACGATCTGCTATCCTCGACCGCGAACCGCCCCCTCTGCCAATTCCGAGCTACCGGTTGAGAACCCGTCGACATTCGCAGCTCATTAAAAATGACATAAAGAAAGTATCGCGTAATTTCTAGAAAGAGTGGCACGCTCGCTCGTGCCTGGTGCCCAATTATTGTTTTGTGATTATGTGTCGCCCTTAAGAGCGACCGCGTGAAGACGCATTTTTGTTTCGTTTAACGCCACCCGTCATCCGATCGCCTACGAAAACCTTAGCTGTGAATGTGCGACGAAGTTGTGCCACGCTCGTGAGTGCGGTTGCAATATATATATATATTCAAATATATGTATATAATATACAGAACATTGTTCATGAGATCATATAAATACCTTTGTGATCTTATAGTGCCACTTGTGACACACATGTCTATAATTTTCAAATCCGACCATATCATTCGCTTCAGAAAATTGATTGCTTACACGAAACTTGGTCACGAAACCAGGATAATTACTGCATTCCTACACACCAGAAGATATTTACTAATACATATTCAGATTAGAGTATCAAAATAACAAAATAAAAGCGTGAATATCTTTTCTAAAGTCGTTCTTCTCTAAAAATTTCAAAATGTGCAAAAGTGTGACTTACTTTATCAAATATGGCTTTTTCAGAATGCCATCTCATCACAGTTTCCAACATGGCGCATAAAAATCTATCATATCGATTTGCTTCATTCTCTGTGCATGAAGTAATTGAATATGTAATATCACAGAAAAGCTGAAAGAAATCAATTTTATCATAAAAATATAATAAAGTGTAACAAGTTATATTTATTTAGTATTTAGTATTAAGTTATATAGTTTATTTTAACAAATAAAACTTGAACAAAAAATTGGACAAATAAAAATAATAAATTAATATGCCACTTTAATTATCTACAATAACAAGAATACTAGAAAGGACTTCCTTACACGATCGTAACGCGTGTGTGCGTGCATGCGTGCGTGCGGGCGTGCGGGCGGGTGGGCGAGCGGGCGAGCAGGCGTGAGTGCGTGCGTGCGTGCATGTCCGATCTGACAGTACATATATGCAATGTATATAAGTAGTGAATAAGGCTTTTTTCGTAAGCTTCAGTTATGAGCGTTAAGATATCAATCGAGTAAAAGAACATATACTTCGAATATCGATCGAGCTAAAGGGATACCATCCCTTGTCGCCAAGTGCACCGCCATCGAAGGAAAAAGCGTGATATTGGAAATGTCCTGGGGAAAAAGCATCAAAGTCACCAACGTGCTCATCATCAATGTCATCGATGCCATCGAAATATAAACCAAACATAAACATTGATAAACTCGCAAACAAAGAAAGTATGTAGAAAAAACGCAATAAAACGTGTCGGGGCACGTTCGCAATTCTTGGAAAAAGGGTAGGACTTATCTCCCTTCAATTCTCGAAGTTTTATCATATACGTCGCAATTTACGCGGATGCAATTCGTCTTGCGATACCCTCTTGTACGAACGATTGAAAAATGTACTTCGCTAAGACAGCATCATACGAAACGAAGAAGGACTGTAGTAACATGTAATTCAATGTTCTAAACACAAAAGAATCGTTTTTTTTTAAATATTATGTACACAGCATGGTGCATATCGCGCGGTGTGTTTACTGAGCAGATATTATGATCTGACGGCTACGGGCTACAAATTTTTGGAAATTGGAATTAACGCTGGTCCACCGTTACTTGGAGATCTCGCACGGAATGCAAGAGATCCAGCTTCGATTCCCGATCGAGGCAATATTCTTCGCAATAAGTTTATTTAAGATTAATTTAGGAAATTTGGGAGGATTATTAATATTTCAGATTGATTGCGTTGAAAGTCCAACAACCATATCGGCACGTAATTATCATTTCTGAAATTAATTCATTTGTATGAATATAGTATATATTAGTTCAACATCTCAACACTCAGATCGTAGTAGCGCTTCGTATTTAAAGTAATTTATATTAATTTTACGCAAAAAAAACATTTTATTTCATGGAATAATATTTAGTGTAATCAAAGAAAATGTTATTTCATCGAAAAATATTGCTCTAAATAAACGCTTTATGGTTTTAACGCATTTAAATTAAAATATTGATATTAAACAAAATAATGTTTCATTTAAAATTAAATTGTTCCAATGAAATAAATGTACTTCAAATAAATAGAAATCTCCATTGTAAAAAAATCGTTCTCTCTGTGTATATACTTAAGACAATCAAATGTTTTGTCAAATAAGTGTATATTCTACATTGTATAGACAAATTCTTAAATAAGACTAACCTAATCCATTATTAATCGTTTATATATCGTTTATAATATTATATATAAATATGTTAAGTAAGACTGATTCATCATTAATTCACCATTAATTGAAGTATATGAGAGGCTTAAATATTTAATTACTTTAACTGTACATAAATTTTGGAAGAAATATTTTTCAGAAAAAACAACAATCATTTATTGGAAAGTAAGGTTGTTAATATGTTGGGTCAACAATTTTGGATTAATGCGTAACGTATTAACGTTATTAGTAAGTGTGTAAATCACTCATAAGTGTGTAAATCAATATTTATTTAATCATAGTAAATTATTTGACTTTCCAAAATCACTAAGTAATTCTGATTATATTTTTTCAAATGATTGAATAACGCACGTCATGCCAAACAGAGTTAGTTTTACTTTGAGTTTAAGTTAGAGTTCAATCAACACTATTTATAGTCAAAATTACTTAGCAGTTTTGGAAAGTTAAAATGTTTATTGTGACAAAATAAACATTAATTTGACATTGTTAATATTGTTTACGCATCTATCTAAAATTGTTGTGATCCAATATATTATTATATATTAACGGCCTTATTTCCCAACAAACAATTAAATTGTATTTTGTGAAAAATGTTTCTTTAAAATTTATGCACAGTTAAAGTAACTAAATATTTAAGTCTCTCATATACTTCAATTAATAATGAGTTAGTCTTATTTAAGAATTGGTCTGTACAATGTAGAATATACACTTATTTGACAAAACATTTGGTTGTCTTAATATATAATTTATAAAAACGTTATTTCATATAATAAAGTTATAATTTCATTCAAACAAATCTTTGCATTTAAAACAATAAAATATATATGTCTCATAGAAACGCATTTAGTTGACTTCGTGAAACTATCAAAATAAATATAATGACTAACTGATCTATTTTTAAGATTACTAAATGATAATGGTCTCGTCAACCAAATGAAATAGTTCAATCATTTCCGTTAACTAAAATTGAACAATTTGTTGAGCAGACTGCGGTTAAATCGGTTAAATTCGATTGAATAAAATTTGTTGCATAAACAAATCTGTAAACGACTAAATATATTTAGTTTATTGAAATTTTTTTTCAATGTGTATAATTAATTGTTTTTATCACTTTATATATTATCACTTTATATAATTTTTATCACTTTATAATTTTTATCTTTATCATTTTATAATTTTTCTTATTATTATAATATATATATAATTATTAAAATGATTAATAATTTTAATAATTTTTAGGATTTTATAAATATGCATCATATTCCTTGCTTTACTCTATTTTTATTTGCGCTTTGATTAAATAAATGAAGCGTCTTTGCGATATGTCTGAAAGTATCGGCTTTTTCTCTCTTT